TTAGACTAGTTGGGGACTTGCTTGTAATAACAAAAACCGGACGACAAAAACAATCCAGCGACAAGGAAGAGCGATTACATGGAACATTATATATAATTACACTGCATTTGCAGCGTAAACACAAAGATTGCACAGTATGTTCAAATCGAAATAGTCCTGGTGGTGAAAGAAAAACTACATATATATGCGAAACCTGCGGCAGAATACCGGTGGTTGATAAATGGTAAATTATAAGTTGCGAACAATAAAAAATAATGTTTACAAAATCTTGAACTTTTATTTTATACATACACCCAGTTAGTTAGTAAGCTCAAAAATGTTTTCCAAAGTAAACGCTACTAAGCGGATGAACGATTGACGAAATCTGTCCGGACCGCAAAGGGTTAATGGAATTAACCATACAGACCTAGTTGAGGTTGAATTATTCGGAAGACGATTGCCTATTAACTGTATTAGTTTGAACATAACTATCATGCTTTCTTTTCTGTTGTGTTGAGTTCTGTTGAGTTCTGACTTTCGGTGTATTCTGTACATCTTGGTAAGTGATCGGATTATTTTGGTATTGTTGATCTTGCATTGCAAAGTGAAGAATTTCAAAAGTGTAGAAGAGTATAGTTTGTTAGTTTGTTTCAGTTGGTAATTACTTAAGGAATGAGCGAGTTATGGAAACTTTTGATGGTAGTTTTAGAGTTGAGCATCTGTCATGTCTGGATAAAATTAAACGGATCAGTGTGGGGATATCTTGAGTAGTCACTAGTAGAAATGTTTATTGTCGGGTTTGGCAACCATATTTTTTACTGTTGATTCAGTAATCTATGTATTTCAGTAGTATTTGTACAATAATTATTATAAGCGAATTATAATTAGCGTTGGTAATTTTCAATGTCATTCCGTGCTAGGCCAACCGCTGCTGATTTTCTGTTCAAAATGGTTTGTCTGTTATCAAAACTAATAATTTTGTATGTGACACGTATGTATTATGTGCTCGAACGCACGGATAACACAACAGCGAATAACAGGAACGATAAGTGGTTAGATCTGACAATCCTATAAACATTCGAAAAAAAGTATAAATAAAATAGGGTTTCTTTAGGGAAATTTTTTTTTTCTTTGAGAACAGTCATTACAATAGTCACAATTACTATAATCTTAAAAGTTTCAGAAATTAATGTAATTCAGAAATCAATTCAAAGATGAATTAAAAAATATTAACTATGATTAACTGTTTACAAAAATTACAGACGACATGGTGTCCATGTAGGTTGCAATATGTACAATAATGGTACCATCCTTTTTGTATTTATATTTGAATATATTCCATTAAATTGATCTGTTTTCGTAAAAACATTCTTTACAAAATAAATTTATTTTTGAATTAATTAAAAGTAGAATAAATATGTGGAGGAATTTAAGTGGTCAATAGTATAAACGCGAATAAAATATAAAGGGTGATTTATTATTATGCTTGAAACGCTGTCTCTCTCTTTCTCTCTCCCTCTCTCTCCCCCTTCCTCCCTCTCTCTCTCCCCCTCGCTCTTTCTCTCACCCTCCCTCTCTCTTTCTCTCTCCCTCTCTCTTCCCCCCCCCCCCCAGAGTGATTTATTATTATGCTTGAAACGCTGTCTCTCTCTTTCTTTCTCCCTCTCTCTCCCTCGCTCTTTCTCTCACCCTCCCTCTCTCTTTCTCTCTCCCTCTCTCTCCCCCCCCCTACCTCCTCTCTCACACTCTTCCGACTCTGATAACAAACTAACTCGCATTCTAACACACTTATGTCACCTTCGCATTCTAATAGTCGCTTCACTTGCATTCGATACTGCCATAAATATTCCGTTCGTACCATCCTTGTACACTTGGTCCTTCCACACGCACTTCAGATGTCAGCTTGAACGCTCGAGTTGAACCCGAGGCCGCTGTTTATTATTACTCGTTTTTGAGGAACGGCCCAAACGGTCCCATGCACTCTGCATTCATATCGACCCAAAGAACACTGTCATCCAGGCGATGATTGTGAGTATGGTTTTATATGTGTGAATGGTATTGAAATGGAATAAACGAAAGTCATTTGGGACGATATAAATATAATATGTGCGAGTGGAATCTAGAGTGAATTATTCATAAAAGATGTTTAGAAGGATGTGCCAAAATGAAACAGTTACGTGAGAATCGTCAAATAGTAAACATGTGTTAATAAGAGTAAGAGAGAGCTAGAGATAGAGAATTTTCTATATAGTGTTAATCTTTTTGTTTAAAATATTATATTGCGAATTCATATCAATATTTAAATATAACTATATAAATATATTAATTTGTTAACTGTTAAAAAACGTACAAGAAATTGATTTCCATTTCTATCCATAATGACCTCCTACAAATATATAATTTAATTAGCATTATTTGTACTATAAAATTTTTTATTTAAACGATCAAATATTACATTATAGATATCTAATGTACTCAAGATATATTATTTAAATATAATTAATATTATTAGAACTATAACGTTATTCATTAACTAATTTTATAGTACAATACTTATAAAAAGAAAGGGGTTTGTGGTTAAATGTATACTTCCCTAAAACCTTTACGGCGTATCATTTTATAAATAGTTTGATGAAATAAATTTTGACATAATCAGCGAGTCAGAGAACAACTTCAATTTAAGTAGACCTTCAAGACCTCAAAGAATTCTGTCTACCTTAATGACTGGGAAGTAATCAAGATGATGGTATAGGTCAACGAAGGAACTAGACTCATTATCAGAGAAAGTGGTCATTGTATTGTACGGCCATTCTACCGTGCATCATGCCAATGGTTTATGACACGTCTATTATTTTCAGGGATGAACGTCAGGTTCCAGCTGTTCGTATGATATAAAGAAATGCTCATTTTCTACGTCCATATAGTAATATCTAAGCCTCTGACATCTGGCTCTAATGGTAGTTTATGACATATAGCTTTAATTAATATTTCTTCAAACATGGCCGTCGGTGTCATAAATCCATCAGCTTCAGCATAAACGAACTTTATGCCACTAATTTATTATTTTTAAATATTCTTTAAGTAAATAATTAAAACAGGTTGGTTTTAAATATTATGCTCAAAGTTTGCTACATTCGTACAATATACCTATTTATTATATAAAAGGTCGAATAATAACTTTGATCAGCTTGAATATCTTCTTGAAGAGGTCTTAATATGATAATAATAATTTTGTTATAGACGTAAAGTTTTTGGCGATTTCAAGGTCGACTCCATGTTTTTTTTCCCTCAAATAATATATTATAGTTCTTTATTTCTAGTAAAATATTAGGTAATTATAATATAAGTATCATAGTTTTACTTTGTTATATATTATCGAATGACTTCGAAATTACGTTGTTCTTGTTCAATTACATGTTACTTTATCAGAAATAGACTCCAGCTTAAAAATTCGTCAGCTTTAAAAAGATTATTACATATTTCCATATTAGTATGATATGAGTCCTTCTCATATCATACAATTTTTGTCAGTACAGTTTCTCCATATTTACAAAAATAATAAGGATAAGTGAGTAAGAATAAGTAAGCAAAGTAAGAATAAGTGAGCAAAGTTATTGTTCCACCCTGTATACGTAATAATGAAATTATTAGGTCAATCAAATTTTCACCCCGCAAATGCCATTGTTCGTTACCCTCATGATCAGACGGAAATTTAATAAGTGACAGATTTGTCCAGTAGATGTTTTACTGTGCCTATATTTCTAATGGAGTGAAGTTTAAATAAATTCGAAATTATCCATAAAGTCATAATTCTAAAACCTTCCATTATCATCAAACAATATTTCAATAATTCCTCCAATTGATCATACTTTTCTTCCCACTTTAGTTAAACTAATTAATAAGAGAATTTATAATAATAAAAAACGTAACTAATCAAAATAACTTGAAAAATCTGTAAAATCTCGCCAGAGAGTACGAAGACATAGACGGAGCAATTAAGAAATCAAAAATCAAGAGAGAAGCATGTTTAGATGTGTACTGTACAGAGTAGATTATCGAAAATAATAAAGATATTGTTACAATTCGCGAGTGTGATTCTTATTCTTGAAGTTCGATCGCTGGATTGCCGAAGAATTCTAAAACGTCAGAATAGATTTTCACTACTGAAAAGGTTGACAGCACTCTCTGAACTTCGATGGAAGACGTTCCTTTTATAGTCAATAGCCGATTGTTATTTAAACCGAACATTCTGGAAGGTGCTGGATTGTTCTGCACTGAAGTTACGATCGCTTTTCTTGGCCGAATACCGGGTGGATATGATTTCGTAACAATATATATATATTCGAATAATAGAATTTTTAATAGAAAAACAGCTGTCTTTGCATTAAATTTGATTTATTTTTGGTACCAAGTTTCACCAAATATAATACAAATGATAGAAATGATATAATCAATATATAGAAAAATTACATAACGTCTTACGGATCTCATATTTTTCTTTGGTTGCTACATCATAGAGATTCTTTAGCATTAGTAATTCCTTCAAGTTGTATTCCTTTTGTGCTTTATATCATATAAGCCCTTTCTCGAGAGCTCCGAATATAAGTATTATATTGATTTACTACAAAGAAATTTTGTTTTGGTTCTGGACTATGATAACTTTGACAGAAGGAAGTAAGTACTACACATACAGATTACACAAGAATGAGATACGAAATTTAGATAATAATATGTTTCGATAATAGAACATCTAAATAATAGAGAATTCGAACAATGGGTGTTCCAATAATCGAGGTTCTATTGTAGACCATCATTAAATATATCAAAGTCAATTGTTAGTCAAGATTAATTTATAAAATTTCTAGTTAACTCCACGCGTCAATGTGTATAAGCCACTTCTACAATTAAAAACAAAGAACGATATACGCAATAATTTTTGCTATTAATAAATCAATATACAAAAATTGTACTAATATTTCTATATTAATTGCTGTTAAAATGATTAATTATTAATTTCTTACGTCAAGATGACTTTCAGGCACAGCTACATCGCCGCACATTGTAGTAGGTCGACAGGCATCTATACAGTGAGTGCGATGATTTTTAACGAAGAGTTGACTACTTTCGCATTTCCTAAAACATAAGAAAATTTAAAAAATAACGATATAATTAAAAAAATCATAAAAATAATGGACTTGAGAAGTTAAATTATTGTAAGCATGGATATTTTATATTTTTGAGATATGAGGTAATAGTAAATGTCAAAAAACTCTATCCTACAATATTAATTGTATCATATTATATTTATAATTTGGAACACAAATATGCAATTAAAAGTAAGCATTAATTAGGCAAAAACATTGAGTAAAAGAAAGATTAAATGAATGATAAAAATATAAATTATTAACAGAAATGCAAACTATATATTAGATGGTATTTATTTATTTCATATTAATAATTATTTAACATAATATGTATAGTTCAATATTAGGTAATTTAATTATATTTTACAATATATTTCAGTATTGAAAACAAAATGCAACAGTGGTTATTATCTTAATTTTAAACATATTTATTAACCTTAATAAAATAAGATTAATAGAAAATTTAAATAACAAATAATAAAAATTAATTGTAATTAATTAACATAAATAAGTTATATAAGAAATCTTTTGATTGCGATGTTCTACACGAATTACACATATCTATTTTAGTTTATTCAAAGGGTTAAAGTGAAACGCAGAAAGAAAAAAAGAGTATAAAAATTTTCTAGAAATAAGGTTAACCATTTCTTAATGTATTTCGTATATTTAAGATATATCGAAAATTACTACAAACAATATGTTATACCAGTATAATAGTCACAAATACGAAAGGATTTAAAAAAGTTAATAAAATTTAATTCTTAATATCATTCCTCATATCTCTAAATTGGCTAAAAGTAATTTGGTAAATAAATATATAATGTAATAAAATTAAATATTTAATTGATAATAGAAGAATGTGCAATATATTTAAGTTTAATTAAATAATAAATTTAATTATTTCCTAGATTTTGCTGCTATTATTTTCATTCTTACTTAATAAATATATACAATATTTATTATTACGCAACCATGGCATACCTAAATGAACCGTAAGGTTGGTATTTCGAATGTTTACACCACGATCGTGAAGAAAGGCTATTTTCAATTTGAAATCTTGAAATATTGAGGGTGGGGGGGCAATGAACAGGATGTTCTTTTGAATCTTAATTTCGTCCACGCTCAATAACCAAAGACGTGTTATAAAACTCGGTAATTCAGAAGGGTCATTCCGAAGCTTCTTTAACACTAGAACTACCAACCCAGTCAAAATGACTGGTCCCAGAATTTTCCTTTTTACAATCACCGAACACATACACCTGCTTTAAGAATAAAATTGGTATCAACACGTATTAAGAAAGAACTGTAATCAATATATTCACTCATATTCATCGTACCGCTGAAATTACTATAATCTGTGCACGTTATGGTTAGGTACCCATTAAAGATTGGTAGTTCTAGTGTTAACGGTACCAACTATCGACGCTTTGCACCTGAAGGAAGGCCGTAAACTTTAGGCAAAACTCTGGACTACGCGTCTGCTCAGGTATTCTATCTTTACCAAGAGAAGACGTGTCAAGGGCGCATGAAAGGGTGCTTGCGACACCTAGGACGCCGCAGATTAAAAAATTGACATTTCTCGAAATAACAAATCAGGGTGCATCTTGAACATGCCAACGCAAGGAACCAGAAGCCATAAAAAAACTCAGGAGAAAAAATTCAGACACGAAACAGTACATACACGAAAACAGATGAAGGAACGAAAGTACCTGCCGTACAAACTTATCAGTTCTAGACCGTAACACGTTTAAAGTATCCTACGCGTTTCAAAGGGAGGAAATAACTCCGTCGTGACACGTAGAAACATTTACTGAAAAAATGAAACTATCTCAAAAATAGTCATGTTATTTTTGTTTCGTAGTGAAAATTTGTTCATACTCGTTAAAGTTTGAGCATTTAAGAAAACACTTAAGAGATGGGTCCAACATAGCCATCATGGTATAGTGATCTTAGGAGGTTTGGATAATATTGATCCATAGATATACTTTTATGCGATAAAGGTAAATACATGAGGGAAATAGCACCAGGGATAAAATGAATTCCTGGGAAAAACCAACATTGGGGTATAAGTGCACCTTACATAAACGTTCGTGATCTAAAATTATTTGAAGGTATATATAAAAATATCATTATTCGTGACATTTTTCATTTTAAAGCTTTACGTAAATCTTTAGGTAAAAAGAAAGACGTTGAAAGTGTTCGTCTTTTAACTTTGAACGTATTATTTTGTTTAATTTTGAACATATTTTGGTTAAGATACATTCAATTCTCATAATTATTCTGTCTTGATACATCATTTTTGTTTTTATATATTTATTTTTGTAGAAAAAAAATTAGAGTAGAAAAAAGGTAATTGTATCTATTTATGAATAAAATGTATTAAAATACTTATTATAAGTAAAATATGTTCTTAAAATAAATTCAAAATTTTTTAATGTAAATATATTCATATTTAATTGTCATTTCTTTCTTTGTATTTAAAATAATATGTACCACAATGCATCTTAAAATATATTTTTCATTACTAGGAAGTAGTTGTTTCTATTTAGATAGAAGAATATAGATTATATATTCAATAATATTAGCCAATTCCAAAAAAAGGAAAATTTTTTTTATGAACTTTCAAACATGTTTATCACTATAAAAAATTTTTCGATTTAATTTGGTTTCGGGTGGTTAATCCATTTTTCATTTATCATAATCAATTTCTTTATAAATATTATTAAATATTATTAAATTATTAATGAGAAACTTGAACCCTGAAATGATTAAAGTTAATTATATTTATGTTTATTTTTGTTTCTCTTCAACAAATTGTGTGAAATTCATAAGCCGTTCAAATATTCAAAATAACTGTAAATTGTAAATTAAAAACTCTTATCTTATTAATTTCCTAAGCGGTATTTTGTTCGCTGAGAATGTATAACACATTGTTATTCACATTTATCAACGGATATAACTTGAATACATTTTGCAATACGATTTATATTGATCAATGGTTACCTTTTATTCTATTGTACTCGCAATCGGTTTATCCTATATAATGTGAACAGAAATGTTATAGCCATGAATAGATATGACAGTCACGTATTTGAAATTTCTAGGAGGTATAATAGCATCATAATAAATATTATTGACAATTAAATGCTTATGATTTTAACAAAGAATTTAATTTTCAAATATATTTTAACGTGAAACTTCTTATTACAGTGTAATCCTATTTGGTTAATTAGTTATACCCTAGTAACGTGTAGTTTACTGTAGACTCATAGACTCGTAATTTCGTGATTCTTATTGGAATTATCAGTTGGGAATAAAAATAAATTGAGAGTTTAATATTTCGATTAAATAAAGATTTTATTGTACTAACTATGTGATTTTAATAATACATGCATATATTTATTCGTATGAAACTTTTATGATGCATTTTTATAGCATATTTAAAATATAAAAATTCATGCACAACGCCAATTGTTTCATTGGTAAAAAGGAAATATGTTCTATAATAGATATAATATGCAAAAGTTGAACCATTCAAGTTAAAATCGCAGAAAAATGCGATTTTGCGTGAATTTAATTACAATCACTTTTCAACATTTCATAAGTGTGAAGTAAATTTAATTTGGAAGGAAGCTTTTAAATGTTTGCGATGAAAATTACGGAAATGTATTATTTGACATGCTCTTTTAATAGAGTAAGATATATTAGTTCAGTATTAACGAAAATCTTTTTCTTCTATTTATAATAATACTTCAGATTTTACGATTTCTACGTTTAAATGTTCGCTGACTGGTTTTTCCCATTTTGAATCATTTTATTTATCAATTTATGTATCGTATGATAAATAGAGATATTCTGTTTTCGAGTATAATCAATATTACATAATATTATAGTAAATATATGAAATAAAATTTGTAAACTATAGAATTTGATTCATTTCTTATTTCAAAACGATATTTTTATTAATTGTTACTCATATCAGTATATTAATTTTTCAAATAACTGTGATTGTTGATTATTCAGATTTAGTTCTAAAGTATATTTTTGAAGCATAATAATTTGTAAACTAAATACTATTTCGTTTACGAAATTACGTTTAATGAAACGTAAATATATGACTTTTGATAAAGTAAATGAATATTTTACAAAATATATTTGTTATAACTATTGGCACAATGGGAGTATAGTGAAAACTCGATTACATAATCCAGCACATTTATTCAATCAAAGTTTTTCAATCATTTATAACAGAAATATAACAAAAGTTATAAACCAAAAATTATTTGTATTTAGTGAAAAATATATAACAATAACAAATTATTTTTAAAATGTTTTTCTTTATTATAATATAAAGAATAACAATTTAACATGTTAATACTCTCAACTGTACATTCATATCCACACAAAGGATACTGTCACCCAGACGATGACTTCCTATAATAGTTAGTATATTTTCACATGTTTATAAGATATTGGATTTTAATTTGGTCTTATAAATATTCAAAAAGAAACATATTGGTTAGGTTAAAATGCATTTTAGTGTTTACAAAAGATCTATTACTATTAATATATACATATAAATTGAAGAGGTTATACTTAATATATACATAGAAGAGGTTATACTTAATATTTATATGCTTAATTAAAATTTATTTCAATTATATATACAAGGTGTTCTAAAAGGTTGAAACCAAACTGAGTCTACAGGTTACACACAGATGACATGATAATTTCCACATGAAAACAAAAATTTGTGACATTATAATTACTAAATACGGAAGATAAGACCAAGAAGGTAAAAAATTTTTAATGACTTTTCCTTGTAGGAAGAATAGCATTTTTGAGTCAAGAATTTAACATGTCCGTGATATTCATTATTTACCATAATATATCTTCGAATTTGTATATTTTTCGCCATGGATGAACAAATGATATATGTCATACATTTGCTGTTTCTGAAGAATTAGTTAAAAATTATATAACACGTAA